GTGCGATCAACACTTATATTTAAATCATTTGCCACTTCCCTCTGCAACCCACCAACAGCCAGAAATCTTAAGGTAGTTGCTAACCGCAGGCTTTCGAGAATGGTACCCTTGTGTATGAAAGTACCAACTTCTCTCAAAATATCCATAAATGCTTATTTTATCACGTTCCAGTATCATTAGACTTTTTCTGGTAGAAACCAGGGCCAGCAGGCATATTTTTCTTAATTTTGTTGTTAAACAAATTGCAAATTCCATTGAAACATATGTTTTTTTATTGAACACATTTCGTAACATATTGAACACAGCTATGCTTTCGAGCCGCACTTTCGCTCGAAATTGAGCACACCATTTTGCACATCAGGGGAATTTAAAAAAGTATGGGAATTCAAAAACTCTCGGAACATGTCACATGGGCGAATATTTCTTTAACCAACGACTAGTCCTTTAAATGAATTAAAAAAATCAACTCTATTACCATGATAGTACTTAAAAATATATTAAAAAATTCAAATCTATTACGATAAGAGTTTTAAAGCAAATCAAAAATACATTAGCACGACATTTCTTCAATTTTTTTAAAAAGATCTATGGGAATTAGCAGAATAACTATTATAAAAATATTATTTTACATAATTCACACCTTTGGAATATATTTGCAATATTTTTGCAACCTTTTAAAATATATTAAAAAATACATAATTATTATACTAATGTCCCTTAGAATATGTTTTTTTTTTTTAATAGTTCAAAGAAAAGACTGTTACGTATTTTTTTTTTAATAATTTGAGTTGTTTTTATTGCTATGAATATTCCATTTTCTTATTTATATTATTAAATATAATGTCAGAAAAGTCAAATATTTATTTTTTTGTATATATATTTTTTTATATTTTTGTTGTTGTTTTTTCTTGTATCTCTATTATCAATTAACTTATTAAGTTTACTTTTGCAAATTCTTCTGGTTTGTAACTTGAGTTTTACAAACATACATACTTATATAAGATATAGTATATAATAATATATTAAAGGTATATAGTATTTAATTTATGAATTATATTATGTGTACGTGTGTAATAGATGTCATCTAAAAAAATCAATTTGTGTCTGAATAAAGTAGATAAAAAAACAAAATATATTTGTAGATATTTTTCATGAAAATTATAATTATAATTTATTGAAATATAATTATAATAATATGGGTTTGTGTGTGTATATGCATGTATTTTGTTTTTATTCTTAGGTATTAAGTTTTAGTACCATACTACAATTTGTTTATGTATGTATGTACGCATATGATGTATAGGTAATTAAATACTAATTATAATAATTGAATACATTTGAATTGTTACAATTTTTGTTTTGTTTGTTTCAATAATAAATACACTTCTATATAAATGAAATTCTTTTGATATAGTTATATTTTATTTTGTTTACATTAAATTTATACATTTTCAGTTTATATGTTTTCTAACCGTTTTTGTTTTCGCGTGGACTTCTGTCACAGAGTTGAGTATATGGTTTTATTTGTAAATGAATTTTTGTATATATATATATATATATATATTTTTTTTTTGCATGTAGTTTGTTTAGTTTAATTTTCTGTTATTAAATAAAATCCACAGGTCTTTACTTATTCTTAACTGTATTTTTTGTTCTGTTTTTGTTTTTTTTTTTCATAAAAAAATATTTGCATATATATGTATGGCTATAATCTACATTAAAAATTTACATATACTGGGATTTGTTTTCTTTTTTTTATTTCCTTACATATAAAAAGCTCTATACAATTTGTTATTTGCAAAAAAAAAACTTTATAAATAACTATTTATATATAAATATACAAGTTGTGATTTTGTTAAATACACTGCGACAGTGCGAACATTTTTAACTGATGGAATTTTTATTTTACGGCAATTGAATTGAAGCTAAATTCCAATTAATTGTATTTTTGTGTCGTGACAACAAAAGAAACTAGTTTTCAAAATGTGAAAAAAGTAAGTTATTTTCAATTAAAAGGATTTAACAACATCGATATCCAATAAGGGAAGGATCCATAATTTGACAGAGTCCACTATATGCAGTACACCACTTCGGTATTTGTAAAATGTTTATATCATACATTGCATTGCAACATTGAACTAAGGGCTTATATAATATCAAGACCTCAAACCTACTAATCAGAACTGTAAAGCAAAACACAATATAGCTATAAACACATTGCGATCCTGATCAGTCTAAATCGACCGAACTTGTTGTGGTACTTATCGGTCGCTCACCAATTGGGAAACTTGCAAATCGTCCTTCAGAAAATGGTAGTAGTTGTTTGTAGAAGCGGAAACAAAGTTTCTCCAAAAGTTCGCCGGGACAAACAGAATAAGTTTTGGAGATCTTACTAATTTTCTTAAGACATGAAGATTAATACAAAACTGTATTTTGCCTAATTCTGTATGCATTAACAAGTTTATCAAAAAATACCTTTATTTTGTAATCTGCAACTGCATGGCCGAATGATAACTGGGCGACTTTACATGCTTTATTTTTGGTTGCGAAATCCAGTAATTATACTTATATTAAAGTCGACAAATTTTAATATCCCCCGGAAAATTTAAAACTCTAAAAAAGCTTCTATGTGACTCACTGGGCAGTCGTAAGGAATAGAGAAACCTTCTTAACATTTAGTTTAGAAATTGTAATTAAAAGTTTACCTTATATGCAATCGGAAAACTGACAAACATTAGGACATTCTCTTGAAGATTCAGCAAGCAAATTGATGACACAGCGTTACCGACGACGACGAGAGATTATGTATCGGATATTCTGACAGACCATGAAATAGAATTTCCGTCAGCGAATTCTATCTAATGAGACCTTATAATTTTGAGGAAGTATATTTGGTGTAGCATGCAAATCATATCATTAGAACTTCGACCATTGAGCTCAATTTGAAAGTGAAACTAAAAATCAACATTAAATACTCTTCGCCCTTACGGTCAACATATGACAACGGTATGATGCATAGCTCTTCAATTGGTCATAAAGTTTGAAATTTTATGTTACAGGAATAATATTGGTAACTATAATGATTCTCAATGATTTTTAAGGCGTATTAACAAATATACAGCCCAATTTTAAATATAAAATCCGTAAGAAATAAACTCAAAGAAAATAAGGTATCAAACTTACGTTTTGTTTTTCAAAAAAAAAAAAATCTTTTACCAAATTGAAGAAATTTAGCAATAAACCGATCTTTTTCCACAAAAAAAAAATGAAGAAAATTTAAAAAATTAACGTTTTATACTAAATGAATTTATGGTTACAATTCAGGCGCTCTTAAATTTCTAATGCGAAGATTATTAAAAAAAGTTAAGCGAAAGCTTCACAAATCGCAATTTTGTGAAATATGATTTCGTTGGCGTATTAAACTTTTTAGTTATGGCCTTCTTGTGAGCCGTCCAAAGACGAAGTGACCTTTTTTACATTTGTTAAGTGTTTGTAAAAAAAATGGTCGGAGGATGCGGATCTCGAAAAAAAATTCCCAAATGATTGAGTTTCATGAGGATATTCATGATCGGGCTGATAATTGACATTAGTAAAACAGAATGGAGTCCCTTAGAATTGGTCTCTATTTTCGATGTACACATACATCTACGAAATGAAAAATCTATCGTTTTCACGACACAAAATGTTCTTTAATTTAGAGATCTAAAAAAAAGAAACTATGCTATTGTTACTAAATTAAAGAAGAGAAACTAACATATTATTGCATTATTTATAAAAACTACTTTGTGTTTTAATTTTTTAGTTATGTGTATACATATATATATTTGAAGAAATTCTTTTTTAAATGGGTGTGGGTGGTATCTAAATCAATTAAATGTTATTAAAACTTAAATAAGGTGGGAGGAGATGGTTGAGGAGGAAAAAAATTAAAATTACATCTAGTGAAATTGTTGCTGTTTATAATTACATTTGTATGACTAAATAGGGTTTTTTCGTTTTTTTAATTAAGTGATAAAATATATTTTTTGTTTATATTTCTTTATACAACAGTTGATTAATTAAAATTATATGAAGCGCTTATTTTTACTTTATGAAAAAAAAAACTTTATACTAATTATGAATTTTTGTTTATGCTTTTGCTCGAACGACGACAAATGCCTATGTCACAAATGTGCTTAAACTAAAAACTTAATACAAGAAGTTTAATTTAATTGTTTTTTCTTTTTGTTTTATTTCTTAATTATTAATTTTAAAAAATGAACATTTATTTACTTATGCTATTGTGTGTGTTTATTAGCATTTTGTTGTTATTGTGTGTGGAACTACTACTACTATTATCCTAGATTGTATTGTTTTAAGTAATTATGTATGTATAATGGTTACCTTTTTGTTGTTTTGCTTTTTTCTTTTGTTTTTCTTGTTGTTGTTAATTAATTAATACATATGTTGTTCTTTAATACATTAGCTCTTTTTGGAGAGAATTAGAATACGGCCTTTTTTGTTGTTTCTTGTTATTGTGTATTATGTATGAGTCATGGTATATTCCTTAGGTTTATGTGTGTATATATATTTTTTGTGTGTATGTTTTGTGTTTTTGCTCTTCTATATAAAAAAAAAGTTAATAATAAAAAATTTAGACAAGTGCCAGCCAAGTAATAGTATCTTCTTTTTCTTAGTCATACCTTCTTTTTTCTTCTTTTGTTTACTAATATATAATTGTTCTTCTTCTTCTTTTATTTTTTGTTTATATTGTTTAGTTAGGGGCACTCGGTATAACCGAGTATTGTCTATCAAAAATATTTTACATTTACTTAAATATGTTCTTTTTTAAATAAAACTAAGATAAAATAACACAAAAATTTGAACAAAAATACTCGAAATTAGCATATTTGAAATGGGGGCATTGATGCACATATATGTATGTATTGTTGTTGCTTTGCGGCTATTGTTGTGTTTGTTCGCTCAATTAATTTCATTTACCAACGCCAATCTGATGATGATGCTGTTGCTAATGGTGATGATATCCTCCATAGGGTATGTAACCACCATAATACATCATATTGCTTAACAGATAGTGGTTCAACGCAATTGATTTCTGCAAAACATATATATATTTATTTTAAAATTAACACAAAGTAAAGATATGTTAAAATTTTTTAAAGTGATTTTTGATGACGATGGTATTTTTTAATATAAAAAAATGGTTGTGTGACATATTTCCAAGAATCTTCAGATAGGTCACCCACACAATGTGACAACAAAAGGGAATATGATCAAAACAAGACCGGTCGTGCTTATATTTTAAAAATTCATATTTAAAACTTCAATCAACTTCCAACATAGAATCTTCGGAAGTGTTAAACCTTAACAATTATACAAGGTGATTACAATCCTCAAAGAACATCCGCTGCCGATAGTAGCAGCTACCGACACAAACTAGAGTGGTTTTGAATACCATGCTGCATGCACGATGGTCCAAATGACACAGATCGCAGACCGGCTAAGCCAAAAGTCTTAACGGCTTTAAAAACCATGATTAAATTCCTCATTATTTTTTATCTTTTCACTTAAATTTGTTAAGGGCTTCAGAACAATTCTCTAGGAATCACACGACGGCCAGTCAAATACTAAATGCTCTGTCAAAATTTTCCCATTTGTTTTGCATTTTTGTTATAGTTTACTGATAATGTGTGTATGTCAAATTTTTCCCACAAGACTGTGGTATCTTCTTCTGTATAATTATAACATTTATAAAAATAAACGTGCCTCATAAAATTTTTTATCTTTTTTTTAATTATAGCATTGTAACCTTTACAATGAATATACATATGAAACATTTATAAATATTTTATTGCTCTCTTCTTTTAAACATTTGATAATAAATATTCACATAACCACTTTCTTTTGATTTCATCGTATTGAATACTCATATTTCAAAAAATAATAGTTTTATGCGATGATGCTGTGAATAGTAGTAATTATTATTAATTTTCTTTTTGTTATAGGTGACAATAGATGATCGATTAAAGTAGTTTTTGAATGGGGTGCAATTGAAAACAAATTTGATATATCATTGTGAGGTAGTTAGTAAACGATGATGAGTGCAAGTGGTTAATGATGATGATGATGAGGTTATTTCTTTTCCTTTGGACTTGCATAATAATGAGTTGGCTTAATTTAGAAAAAAAAAATCCTCATCAAAAACATATAACGTACAAATTCTATACTTTTTTAAGTCACATACAAATATTATGAATAAGATTATATAAAATAAAAAAAATTCAATATAGAAACATACAGTGTAATAACAAACAAACGTAAGCAATGACTGATGTATGATCAATGGCGGCGGTAGATGTATGGCATTGGCTGATTTGATTGATGATTGACTGACTGGATTATATTTTTACATTGTTGAGAACGAACGAACGAACAAACGACGACGACTTTGACTACTTTATTGTGAATGCAATGGCGTTGCTTTAGTGTCCATTTACCGGGGCCTTTGTCTGTTGAAATAAAGAAATTGAGTTTATTTTCATTTTTTTTTAATTGGAAAAACAAAAATTGGGAAATCTCAATAAAAAAAGAACAAAAGAAAATGTTGGGAAATTTTCAACGACAAAAGCAAGTTTTGGAAAATTATTAAAATTAAAACAGAAAATGACTTTTTTCATAATGGATTTGTCGTCGTTTTCTTTTCGTTTGTTTCTTCTTCTTTTTTCTTTCCTTTCATTTTGTTGTTCACCTCTATGTTTGTTTACTTACCGGAAATATTGATCATGTAATGACTGACGCTGGAATTCAGCGGCCTGTAAATACTGTATATATGTAATTAATGAGTAAAAAAGTTTTATCGAGGGTAATGGAAAACCTGAAGTTGATCAGCATAAGACATACGCAGCAGGACATCTGAGTGCGGCTCCCTAGGCATAAGCATATTTGGACGTGGAAATTGACCAACATTCGCTGTTGGAAGGTGTCGTCGTCATCATCGTGGTAATAATTGTTGATAGCCATTTCCAGTCATGTTGGATGTTTACACACACACACAGAGACATTCACATTTGTACATAGACATTTTTACAAAAAATATGCATGATGATTTCGATTGAGAGACAAATGTAGAATGATTGTTGTACGCAAACAGGACAAGACAATGAGTGTAAAAAAAAAACAAAAGATAAGAGAAAAACAAATTTGTTTATTTCAATGAAAAATATACATTATATTATTATACTATTGAGAATATTAACAAAATTGTAAAGATAAAAAAGATCTGGAAATTTTGTGAAAAAGGGGATGGTCTATCGAAAAAAATAATAGAGTTAATGTTTTTGTAAAATATTTAAGTGGGTCTTTAGACATAAATGAGTAAATTTTTCAACGGATTATTTGAAGCTAACAGTCCATATGTTCTAGTTCTATATGCATAGATATTTAAAATATTATTTTTAGAGGGCTATTAATTAATTTTCATGGAATTTTTAAATACTTTTTGGATGACTTTTATTAAACGTGAATGTTTTAAAACATTTTTTGAAAGAAAAATACTACGGAATTAGTGAGGATTTATTTTATCTAGTCTATCAGTTCTTTTAGCATAGATTTTTAAAATATGTTTTTGAAGGACTATTAGGAGGTATATGTTTTTATATATATATATATATATATATATATATATATATATCCTGAAATGTTATATACTTTTTGGATGACTATCAGAGTATTTAACGTGGATTTCTCAAATAATTTTTTGAAAGAAGACCATCGCAGATAAAAGCGTTGGTTTCTTAAGTGTTATCATTACCTGCATTCATTTTTTAAATCACTTTCAAAGTGTGAATAATCCAGATTTTTACATTTTTAAAGGACTACATAAACTACAAGTCTGAATTGTTTAAAAATATTTTTTGAAAATCTATAGATTTTTTGAAAATGTATAGATTTTTTGAAAAACCTATAGATTTTTTGAAAATCTAAATTTATAATTTAATAAAAAATATATATATATATGTTTGGAGGACTAGGACCAATTAATGTGTATATTTTACAAAAATTAGTTGAAAGACAATCAGGACAATCCTGAACATGTATTTAATTTATTTTGAAGGACTATCTGAACTTTAATTGTAGATAGTTATTTAATATTTTAATGTGAAGGATTATTTTTAAACAATAATGAAATTATTAAACATTTGATGAGAATATTTTAACATTTTCCAAGGTATTTTAAAACTTTTGGGAGGGTGCAATGGCCTCTTGGGATATAAAAAACTTGAAAAATTCTTTCTTGACAAGTTTTTTAGCGTAATTTTTCAGAAAGAAATCCATTACATTTTGTATAAAAAATGGTTTAAGTACTCCTAGAGTCCTTTAAGAACACCAAAACTTGCTTAAAGCCTTAGTTCTCAAAAGTAACATTTATATTTAACTATTGATGTCTACCTATTAAAATCATTAAAAAATTGTTGTTATTTTTGTTAATATTCTCATAGATATAATTTTTTTTTGTTTCTTATAAATTTTTACACAAACTCACGTGGTAGTTGAAATCCGGCCTCGGGTGGTTGCGGCTGTGGGGGCAAAGGCAAATGTAAATGAGTATGAGAATGCGCATGTGCATGATATTCTCTCGTCAATCGTATCTGAAAATTCATAGTTTCAAAATAAAACAAAAAAAGAGAGGGTACGTGGCGAATTTCCAGTTTTAGTGTCATAGTGTTTCACAAAAAAAATAGTTCAACAAATGTTTTGAAAATCATTTCAATTTCTTACATCATGAGAAGAGAACAATGACAATAAACACACACACAGCTGAAGAAGGCAGGTTGGTTTTGGATGAGGAGCTTAATTCGCAATTTCGGTATTAATTTGGTTAAGAGAAAGCTGTTGTTGTTTCTTTTCGTAAAAAAAAACTTAGTTCTTGTTAAAACTCGAACATAATGTGCATAAGGGGTTAATAATTGAGTTGCCAAAAAACAATGAAACAAATGCGGCTGTTAAATACTTTGGGTTATGTGAATATAATGGGAATTTCGTTTGTAAGAAATGTGGTTATTTATTTTATTTTTATTGGACCAAAAGCAATTGTTAACAATAATGAAACTCGAAATGTTAATGGTGAAAAATGACACAAACTTTAGTTTTTTTGTTGTTGATTAACTTCCGTTTCAATTTTCAAAAAATATAAAACTATTGAAAATTGTGGTAATAAGTTGACGGAACAACGTTTCTTTTTTGGTAGTGGTGTTGGTTAATTCGCAAAGATTAAAAAAAAACACACACACAAACTGAATTCGTTTATTATTATAATTCCAAATACGATTGAGTGATTGAATGATTGATATGAAACATATTGTTTTTTATCTAAATTTATATATATTTACAACAATAAATACTGTGACTTATTATACAAAAACAAAACAAATGAATGAAATGTCAGTAAAGATAATATTGTAATTTGTGTTCTCTTATTTTGTACTTACCATATGTTCGCTGGGATCGAGACCGACATGATGTGGTGGTATTCCCAAACGTTCTCTTTCGATTTGTGATATTGCTGCCGGATTGGGATAGAGGGGAAACTGTGAGGGATGTATGCCACTGAAAGAGAGAAGATAACGAATTAATAAAATCCATGGTGTTTTAAACTAATTTTTGAAGCCTTAATAGAGGTAGCAGCACTGATTTTAAAGATTATGGGAGCTTTTGCACCAATTTATATACAGGCATGATGGTTTAAAAGTAATTTCTTTACAATTGTCTACTATATCTTACCGTCTATAGTATTCCATCCAATGGGGATCTAAACGTGATTGACCAGCAGCTGCAGCAGCTTGTGCGTTTTTAAGCTCTTCCAGCTCCCTAAAATATTAAGAAAACGCACACGAATTGGATTATTAACAAGAACAAAAATTGGGCGACAAATTAAATGACAATGAAAAATTCGCTAATGCAATATGGTAAATGAAAAAAATAAATACAAACATGCACAAAATGAAAAAAATTAAAAAAGCAAGCGAAAACATAAGCATAAAATGTGTTATATGAAATATTAGGTTATGTTTTTTTTTTTCTTAAACAAAACCGTAAAAATAATATTGCATTCCGCATTATTTAATATTAACAATTCATATGGATGGTTAATGAATCGGCATAATAAAACCAAACCAAATAAGCAAAAGAATAAAAAAGCAATGACATGAATATTTCTTATTGTAAAATATGAAATGATTGAAATTAACAATATTGAAGAATATATGTGTATGTTGTATGTACCTTTCTCTACTGTACATGGGTCCCATTGGATGATGATAGGGTACCATCTGTTCAACAGGACTGAAATAATTGAAATATTAAAAAAATCGTTAAACTCATTACAATGGCTGTTTTTATGTTCAACGTTGGAGTAGTCGAAATAAATATTCTAATAGTTCAAAAAAATTAAATTAATTTAAACTAAAATTACAATAGTTTTGCCAGACAGAAATCAAATCAAAATACTTTCAAATATGGTGAATTTTGATGCGTTTGTTTATTCGTTTGGAAACTAGTAGTGTGTTTAAATCATTTTTAAGATTGTAATTCAAGTGTGTTTATTCAATATTTAAACATTTTTGCTGTTGATATTTATAGTTGATTTGTTAATGTTTTGATGATGTTTCGTGTTTTGACTTTGACGTTTAATTTAAGAATTTTCCTTTATTATAAAAAAACTTTATCCCTGATATTGTCGAACACAAATAAAACAAAAACAAAAGTTTTTCAAATCAAAAACATTATAAATAAATATTTTTTTAATTTCTCTTTCTACTTTCAAAAACTGTCAATATTCTGCTGGCAGTTGTTAAAAATACATATTTCCAAGGATAATTTAAATTGAATAATTTCTATATAAAAATCAGAGTTAAAAGCGCAGATTTGTGCGATTTCTCAAGAAATAAAAAAAAACTTAATAACAATTACGGCCATATTACACACAAAAATTTATATGTGAGATTGACTCTTCCAAAAAATCGATTTTTATCCCAAAAATTGAATTTTGAGTCGTAAATTCAGTTGTTTTTTTATTCCGTCACAATTTTATTGCTTTGGACACAAAATTATTTGATAGGGGTTCATTTTCAAAATCAAAACTATTTTGATTTTCTTCCTGCATTGTGTGTGTCACACATACATAAATAAACTTTCAAAAAATAACACATACTATGATAAATGCAAATATTAGTTTAAAATTTTTTTGAAAATTTTCCATTTTAGATATTTTGTTTTTGTTGCCAACAATATTTTTTTTATTTTAATAAAATTTATCTGACCAAAAAAGCCCAACAAAAAACATAAAGATTTAATAATTATTTCACTTGAATTACAACCTTATAAATAATTTGATCATTTGTAATCCTTTCAAATCTTTAAATAATAGACGCTACAGCATTCTATTACAACATACCTGAAACCAACATGTGGTCTAGCATATTCGGATAATTGTCGCAGGGCTGGTGTATCACTATATGGGGGTTTAAGTTCCGCTTTAAGTTTAGCTTGTTGGGCCGCCTGTTGAGCAGCAACAGCTTGTTGCTGTTGTTGTTGCTGCTGCATTTGTTGTTGCTATGGAATTTTACGAAACAAAACATACACATTTTAGTTATAAAAAAATATATATAAAAACATATATCACACAACATACCTGTCGTCTTTCGCGTTCCTTTTCGGCTAATTTACGGTCACGATCTTCACGTTTACGAGCCAATTTAGAATCGGCCACCGGTTTAAATATCAAATCAGTTCTGGTACATGAATTATAATCACCACGATCGATGTGTCGTACAAAACTGTGGAAAGGGAAAGAAATTACAAAGCTCAGAATGGAATACTCGAAATCAAAATATGATTGGTTTCTTACATAGCTGACTGTGATCGATGACATTCGGTATCATCAGGCTTAGCCTCAGGACTAGGACCACGTGGTATATTGTGTGTTGGACTAGGTATTTCTGGTTCTGGATCAGGCTCAATTTCAATGGGTACTGCAATTGAAAATAATTGTGAGTATGATATTCAATTCAATTCGAAAACTAAATGGGAAAAACTACTCACATGGCTCTGTGGGATGATGATGGGGTTGTGGAGGTCCTACCAAGCCAGAACTAGCCGAATGGGCATGAGCTCGCAAAGCATCCATATGTGATGTGGGCTGCATCATGTGTGGTGGTTTACCCACCTCTTGGAACGGCGATACATGCGGCGGTGGTGGATAGCCAGGAATATGAGATCCCGGATAGCCAGCTGGTGGTAAACCGGTAGGCGTTGTGTGTGGACCTGGTGGTCCGTTTGGTCCACCATTACCGTTGTTGTTACCCTGTGGTGTCTTTGGTGTTGGCGGTTTATTTTGTTGTTGATGTTGCTGCTGTTGTTGTTGTTGCTGCTGCTGTTGTTGCTGCTGCTGTTGTTGTTGCTGCTGTTGTTGTTGCTGCTGCTGTTGTTGTTGTTGCTGCTGTTGTTGTTGATGCTGAAGATGTTGCTGCTGTTGTTGATGTTGCAGATGCTGCTGTTGCTGAGCTTGCTGCTGCATTTGTTGTTGTTTTTGTTTTTCAACAGCAGCCGCCAAGGCTGGATCATCTGGTCGCGTCGGTGGTGGCCCTTGCAAACCTTGATGATGAGCGGCAGCCATCACTGCCTGTTCCAACGATCCACCAGGACCCGGTGATTTGATGTACGCGGGGAAACCGGGTCCATACGGACCATAACCATAGGGCGAATTAAACGGACTATGATGATGCGGCGAATAAAACATGGATGGGTGTAAAAGCGGGTGTGGATATGGTGATTGTCCCGGATGAACGCCAATCGGTGGCATTCCAGCCCCAGTAGGTAATAGCGGCAACGGCAGTGGCATTTGAGGATGACGTATCACAGGCGGAGATGCACCCGGTCGCAAATGGGGCGGAGGCGATGCTCCTAGACCACGCTGACCAGACTGCGGTCCATACATTTTACTTAGGGGACTGGCCATTAGACCGGAAGCACTCGAGACCGGTGGCGGTGTCATGTGCGGAGATTGTTGGCGCAGCAGCGCGTGTCTATCACGTTCAGCAACCGCCGCAGCTGCTGCCGAAAGAGCAGATGAAGAGGGATGATGGCTGAGCGGAGACTGTGGTACCGGATGCAAGGGACTTTGTCGGCTAAGACTGCCCACACTCGACGCTGGCGATGATGAACGATGGGCCCCACCGGCTGATGTATTTAGTCCACTGGGAGTTCCCGAATTACTGTTACCACCACCCGGATGTGGTGGTCCGCCAAGTGATCCACCCGGACCGCCAGCAGCCGAGTTACTGGACACACTGGGACTGGCTCGACTAAATGCTGATGATGGAACTGTGCTGGTGGTCGACAAAGAGGTAGCTGCAGAAACAGGAGGAGGATTGGAGCCATGTGTGGGCATTGACCCACTGGCTGAAGAAACTGGTGGTTGTGGTGCAGATTGCATGTGGGACGCTGGTGGCGTTCTTCGACTAAGGCCTGATTCAGGCAAACTATTGAGTGATGGTGGTCCAGCCAACAATGCCAGGGGACCTGCTCCAGGTCCCAAACCGGCTAGAGAATGTGGAAGCATGTGTGCGGCATGAGCAGCATGCGCCGGGTGACCAGGTGGCAAGTGAGCCAAATGAGGGTGAATGGGCATGGGATGTCCAATGAGCCCGGGAGGAACGCTGCCGGCCAATCCCGGTAATGGGGATGTGCGATGTGTATGCGGTGATTGTTGTGGTGGTGGCCCAACTGCTGACGAAGGCTGCGATGTCGGTGGATCGCGTAATTGCGACGACTGGGGACCAGCACCTCCTGACCTGTCGTCATGCATGCCTAGACGTTGTGGTTGAGGTTGAGCTGGTGATGGCGTTCGTACAGTTCCCGAGGAAAGTTGAGACGACTGCGACTGTTGGCCGTGCGGACCTAAACCATGGCCGGATAGAGAAAGAGGTGGACCATTACGTGGGTCGTGATTTTGTAAGGATAACGGGATGGGCGCATGCGGATGCATAGGTCCGCCCGCTCCTGGTGGCAACTCGGCGTGTGGTCTATGCAATTGTTGTAAATGACCCGGAGGCAAATGTTGAGGGTGCATGCCTGAAGGTGCCATAGAAGAAATACTGTGCGGAGGTCCAGAACCACTCGCTGATGTAGGAGGAGCTGAAGAAGATGGCATATGACTGGGATGGTGTAAGCCTTGAGGCCCACTGCTTCCACTCGCCGACGTAGGTGTGGGATGATGTAGAATGCCTTGAGACTGGGATCCAGAGCCACCACCAGGTGTGGATCCTTGTGGAGGGCCAGAACCTGGTGGCACTTGACTCTGGTGTGATGACGGTGGCATTGTCAAAGGACCACCATGCGGTGAAATCAAATTTTGTGGATGCATGCCAGGCGGCAGACCGCCACCTGCTGGCGACGGCATATGGGGTGAGGGATGAGGTGACTGGAATTGTTGCTGTGTTGAAGGCAGGGAACTACTATTGCTGCTTTGACTATCTTGACCGGGAGTGGAGCGAGCTGAAGCATCAATGGGACTTTCCGATGGAGGATATTTTAGTCCAACTTCATGAGGTCCTCCGCTACCATACGGCACTGGTTTTATTAAATTCTCTCCATATGGAGATGGTTTCAAACCTCCACCAGTACTCATATCCGTTGGAGGGCCTTGTAGAGGTGGATATTTCAAATCCTGTGGACCATATTTGCCAACCATTGGGTCGCCATATTTCATCATAAGACCAGCAGCTGTTTCGAATGGCGGCCGAGCCATTGGATGTTGCACTTGATGCTCGTAATGAGGCTTGGGCATTGCAATGCCGGGTGGAGGTGTAGCCCCTGGTGGCTGACCATGTGATGGTGGAGGTGCTGGCGGTTCCTGAGGACCGCTCATGAATTTGTGTTGGGGAGGATTATCACTGGTTGGGGTAGCGGCACTGCTAACTGGAGGTGGTCCTAGGCTGGGTGGTGGATAACCACCTTTTAGATCTTGAATCTTTGATGGAGCTTCGCCACCACCACTGTACGGTTTACCGGATGTCGGAGGTCCATGCGGAGAAGACAGATCGCCCGGGAATTTACCCGTGTGGGGATCGATCATGAATTTCATATCAAATTTACCAGATGCGGCAGCAGCATGCATTTCCTGACTGTACTTCAGAGATTCCATCGAATGTGGAGGAGGGTATTTCAAATCCTGTGGCACAAACTTTCCAGGTTCGTATTTTATACCGTCTGGGAATTTGTGTTCCATTTCTCCGGGATATTTCGGTTGCGGCGGATGCAACGGGCCGGATGTTGGCGGCGGAGGACCACTACTGTTGCTTGGTGGTGGAGGTCCATTGTTATTGTCGTTAGCCATGGATGATGGTGGCAGCTGGGGAGGCGGTTGATTAGTTTGTGTAGGTGGCGGTGCAAACTTAAGATGCCCACCCTCAACAATATACCCTGGTGGAGGTCCTCCAGCAAGGGAATGCTGCAAATGGCCCGGTGGTGGTAACTGTGGTGGGCCCCCTTCCGCTCCTTCCCCTGCTCTCTTTGTTGTAAGAGACATTGGTGTTTGAGGACCACCTTGATGTCCAGATGGTGGTGGCAGGCCCATAACCGGAGGTTTAACGTCTTCACTCTTTACCTCTATCTTAACTTTGAGATCTTGAGGCTCATTGCTGTTCTGGTTGCAAACGGCATCCATGACGGCATCCTTTGGCTCTTTCTTGAAGTACATTACTTCAGGCATTATCGGCTGCGTCGGTGGAGGTTGTGGCGGCTGGGTATTCTGTGGAGGCGTTCCAATTTCCTGCTTCATGTTGGCCAGTTTCTTTAACATGTCTTTGGGCATATCAGTGTCCATCATTTCCAATTTGCCAGCTTCGATTTTACGATCGACGGAAGCATTTAGTGCCTCTACAGTTGGTACCTTAAGCGGAGGAAGAGCTGGAGGTGCTGGGGGAGTATTTGCGGTAATCGCAGGGCTTGCTGCCGCTATGGGCGTTTTCGATGGTGATATAGCTAAGGGATCTTCTTTGGGTGGTTTTATGTCTTTGAGACTGTTTTCGGGAACGGAAACCATTGTGGCATTGGGCATCGATGATGGTGCCTGAATATTCGTTTCCTCATCGACATTTTTGATTTTATCTTTAATGTCGGTTTCGGGAATCGGTTTGGTCTCCGTTTTCTGAATCACATTCTTGTCGCTCTTGGCGGAATCAAGTTCGCTATTGCCACTACTGCTCTCTTCCTTGCTGGAAGTGCTGCTCTCTTTACTGTCTTTGTTTGATTGCTGTTCGTTGGTATCAGTGTTCGTGGACTCGCCATCATCCATGGCGGAATCGGAACGACTGTCTGAATTTGTGCTTTCCACCGGGCTCTCGGCACGTTTGCGCTTATCCTTGGATATTGATATTGCGACGGGCGGAATGGGTGCGCTGTTATCGGTTGACTCATCCTGATTGTCAATGGTCGAACTGCCGGTAACAGAACCCTCGGTATCGTTACGTTTCTTCTTATTTGGTGTCTCTTGTCGGCCGGTCTTTCTTTTATTGGCTGCACTACTACTCTCCGATGCTGGAGGTTTCGTGGGTGTTTTGGGGCTTTCCGCCGCCAATCCCGCACCAGCTGCTGCTGCCGCGGCCGCAACATTGTCTGGAGTTTCCGATCCACGTTTGGGCCGTTTACCATTTGCGGTTGGCTGTGGTTGGGTGACCTGTGTTTGGTCGCACTTGGCCGCACCGCCCACTGTCGTCTGTTGTTTGTTTCTCGTCCTCATTCTGGACGGTGATTCATCCCTTTTATGGGTCAAACTTGAATCGCTGTCGCACTCGCTTACGTCGTCCTCGGTCAGAGAACTTGTCTCTTCCTTGGTGACAACTGGCGAAGCGCGACCTTTGTCTGCGGCCGCCGTCGACGCCGTCGTCGTCGCCGTCGTTGTCGTCGTTGTCGAGGCAGTTGCAGCAGATTGCGGTTCGGGTGTGTCCTCCTTTTTCGGAGGCGTATTGCTGGCCCGTGTAACACGATTGCGACGCAAAGCACTCTGGCGTCGTCTACGATGCGGGCGATTACTATTGGCGCTGGGTGTCTTCTTCCACAAATAGTAGAATTCAACTAACTCGGGTGTCTCCTTGTGTGGCAATAAATCCTTTTGGATTCTAAAAAAATTCTTTCCAAATTGTCTCAGACCTTTAATGAATTTCTTAATTTCGTCTTCGCACCATTTCTTTTCGATGCTCTTAGTTAAGGGGGCTTTTACAAGTGCTTGTAATGCTTTACCGGGATCATAACCATTATCGTGTAACTGAAACGTACAAAGAAAATATGCCATTTAATTGAAGGATATATGGAAAATGTATATATTGAGTACATTATAATTAACTTTGGTAATGGGAACTATTTTTCCATCATCCAATTCTATATAATATGAATAGACGTAATAATTCTCAGCTTCCACCATTGTGTGCGCTCGTATGTTATGTAATAAATTTGTTGATCGGAAATTTCCTGATATTGTCAAGTCACTTTAACGACAACATTTGATATAAAAATAAATGTTCACATCAAATATTAAATTTAAAAAAAACCCCCCAGCTCATTACTGTCCATGTCTATTATTTAAGTGTACCGAAAAAAAAAACAAATCTACAATCAGTTTATTTAATCAAAACAAATTTTAAAACAATTATTATGTGATTTAAAAATTTCCAAATGTATAATTGCAAAAATTCAAGCTAATTTATCGATTTACGATGTGATAGCCACTAAACGAAAATATATTTTTAATCACAGTCAGGGTTTTATGGCATGGCATTAAGAAGACCCCATTGTTTCAACGGATTACTTTACATAGCTTATAAGAATAGTTATGTATATGATGTTAATAAATATATATAATATTTTTTTCAAAACTTTTGGACCAATAAGTGTGTATTTGTTGAAAATAACATTTCAAGGACTACTATACAAATTAATCGTGTTTTTAATAACATTTTCCAGGACTACTAAACAATATGGGATTATTATTTTAATTAAATTTGCATGTAGGTTCGGTCCTAACCAAGATAGACTCGTATTGTTTTTTTGTAATTATACGTTTTTATTTTTATTTATGTTTTATATGGGGATATATAAACTATAAAACGGCGAAAATGTGCCGCACCGAAATATTCATTTAAGACCCCATGTTTCTTAACCAAATTCGTTTAAGACAATTTTGAGTCGATTTTCAAATGTCCGTCCATACGTCTGGCCGGCTGGTGCCCCCGATAACTCTCGAAGGAAGCAATCAATTTAGTCGAAATTGCAGCTTTGCACATCGTAATATTTCTTCCAAACATAGTTTAAGTTCGATGTTGGGGAACTATGCGGTTTGAATAAAACAAGCCTAGATCAAGTCCAGAGATGGGAACCAAGTCAAGTCCAATATCCATCGAATGGAATGGAAACTTTGCACAACCTATTATCTTTACCAAGCCTAGATCAAGTCCGAAGATAGAACCCATATTTGATAAACTTATACATTTTATTTGAAGGTAATAGAATAACCGATTTGATCAACATAAAATCCGAAACCTCTCTGGTAAAACATATATCTTATCTAAAACTAATAATAAAATCTGTGTGTAATTCCGAAGACCTCCACAAACCATAGGCTGAGGGTATTTATCTGACAAGAATATCACGGAATTTTACCCGGAGAAGGAATGTGTATGATCCTGTTCACTTGGAGTCAAATGGGAATGTATTGGGAGTCAAATGCATTCAGACTTTTGAAACACAATTATAAGCCGAACATTAGAAATTATACACGGGGAAGTGGATCTGGGCAACTAATGGGAACGACTGATCGGTCAATATTGAGCGGGTTAAATTAACTAAGACTTTTGTGTGTAAAATAACGAAATATTAAAACATGATACCACTAATCGGCCAAGAGGGTGCAAATATCGAGAAATATTGTCCATGCTTGGTATATAGATTCACAGAAAGTTCGATTTCAGTGATAGTTGTGTACGGTATCATATTTTTGTCAAGGACCAATATGTGTGTATTTAATATTCCGTATCGAACATCTGTAGAACACATGTATGTCTGTATAATCGCGTTACGAAATAAGTCCCTAATCTAACTCATTTATTGACGACCTGTAAAAGAGTATTCTGTCAATCGAAGGTCTGTAGACGACGTTATATCTAAAGAGGGATTGAAGAAGATCTTCTGTAGTAGAATGTCTTCCAGAAGAATTGTCCATGAGACGTTTTATCTGGAAAAGGTTAGCCGAAATGCAATGAGCTAAAACGGAATTTAATAAGCCGACTATGTATAAAAACTTTCTAATTGTCTGTGAGAATTGTCACGAGGAATTCAAGATACTGAACTTTAGCATAATAGATTAAAACAATTAAAAAGTTATATGGCAAATCTATAAAAAATGTACTTTTCAGTATTCAAAAAGTGGTAAAACTTTTTACAGAAACGTGGACTGACTTGTGACAACAAATTCTATACTTGAAATTTTTTTATTGAATACATCTTTTGTGTATTTATTGCATTCTAAATTCGATTACGACATATCCTGTCCTTCCCCAAAAGTCCTTTTCACATCATAATAATTTGGGTAAACTAGATCCAATTTATGATCCAACCACTTGTGACAACTAATTCTATCTTTGAAATTGTTTTATTGAATACAGTTTTTGTGTATTTATTGCATCCTCAATTTGGATATATTCGTGCGGATTATGTTCTTTCCCAAAAGTCCTTTTTACATAATCATAATTAAAAACAAAAAAGAATTCTACTTACAACATCATGTGCATTAATTGTTGTATCATCACGTGTTGCTGCTACAATACCTTCTTCGAGACCACCATCACACATTCCTGCAATAGAAAAAACAGAGAAAAGAAAAAAATCGATTAGCATCTCAGATCCAGTGGTTTAAGTTTGGGGGTGTCATTACTTTTTAGTATTTCTTCCGGTGGATATTTACCTTGAAATGCAGCCATTGAACGAGCTGCACGCAAGAACATTAAAAGATCTCCATCTGCCATAGCACCGGGACTCCATCTTGGTATTTCTAATTCTCTTTCGTCGTTTTCCTTATCAACGGGGAAGCTTGAAATTGGATTATAATCGGGCAGTTTTGCCTTTTGTTGTTGTGTGTTGTTGTAGTGATGGTATTTTTTGTTTTTTTTTCATTGATTATTAATTTTCGGAAGTGGTTTTGTTTGGTGAAGCAGTGCATATGGAGGTAGGAGGAGAGTAGGAGAAAATCGTAGTATAGCAGACAAAATTTTAGATTTATTTTGTATTGTTGTTGTTGTTGATTGATTTTGATGTTGTAGTAGATAGGATGAGTTGTTTGGTTGATTGGTTGTTGGTAGTGGTAGAAACAGATGTTGTGGATGTGTGTGCATATTGTTGTTGCAGAATGACATAAATGTGTGATAAAGGAAAAACAAATGATAATTAGTGGAGAGATATTAACAACAAAGTTTTTTTATTAGTTGAAATAAAAATTGTTGGGATTGGAAATTAAAATAAAATAAAAACAATAATTATAATAGGATTATTAGTTACAAATAGAGTAGAAGTTTGTGTATGTTAATGTGTTAAGAGTTTTTTTAGTAAATGTTGTGGAAATGCAAATGATGGACAGATGATAAATGTAGGAGAATAGTTTTAAGAAGAAAATCAAAAGCAAAACTAAAGGATGTTTTGGAGTGAATGTAATGGGTGATAGAGTGTTGACATTTTTTAGAAATCTTTTGTTTTGTCTCATAGAAAAGGAAATCGTCACAACATACAAGACGAATTAGTTCCTATTTGTAGAATTATAAGTAGTTGGACACTTTAGATTTATGCATAGACTAATGAAAATATAGACGACGAAATACTCTCACCAGTCCTCTCTGAATTGAGTCTGCTGAATGCGCTACTCAATTTTAAATCGTGATTTATTTAAATGTTTGAACCTTTTGATTTGGAATGCCACTATACATAGTTAGTTTTAAGCAAAAACTATATCCTCAGATAAAAACATTGAAGAAAAATAGGCAATTTTCCCCAAAAAACGTCTTTAAAATTTTTTGAGTTTTTTGTTTTGAGTCACTTGACCGCGCATTTTTTGAGTATTTCGTCGTCTATATCTTCATTAGTCTATGATTTATGTCGCAACAATCTAATAGAGACTAGAGAAATTAAAATCCAAATCGCTCATATCTTTTTTTTCTAGGAGAAGGCATTCTCTTCAAAAAAAAAAAATATTTCATGGGGGGGACAAAAATAACATGAAGGAGAAAAAACGGTGGTAAAAATGCCCATAAATGTCAAAATTAAATACTGATGGGATTGTCTCCAGTGTTTTAATTTAATTTAAAGACTAAATACAAAATATTTCTCGTAAAGAAAACCTAAGTGGCGGACGAAGAAATGCTGGTCATACTGGCCAACTGACACATTTTTACTTTTATAAGGCAAAAATGTGCCTCGTCGAAATATTGGTCTAAGATCTCATGATTCTTTGTCCCGCATTCTGTCTGTCTGGCTGTTTGATGTGGACGAACATTTAGAAAGTTAGTATTGATCCAATATCAAGCTAATGAAATATCTGATTTGAACCAAACATTGCAAGTCATAATTGTTTTCTAAACCTACATTAAATTCTAAGGCTGGGTCTATAGGGCAACCTCATCTGGAACCTCCCCTAGAATAAAACCTGAGGATATATATTTGTGGGCAACACCGACCGACACTTTTTTACTCCTTTAGAATAAAGTAGTGAAAGTTCATCTGGAACCTCCCCTAGAATAAAACCTGAGGATATATATTTGTCGGCAACACCGACCGACACTTTTTTACTTCTTTAGAATAAAGTAGTGGAAGTTCTGAGATTTTTTTGGCCAATAACCCCTTTGAGATTAATTCAAAAATGAAGGAGAACACCTCAAAACATATCCGACAGTGAAAAAACTAGACTCCAGCTCCATTGAGAACGGTTGGCGTACTTCTGAAAACAATACAACAAAGAAAAGTTAGTCCGTCGTAGGGAACAATACCAAATGGTACAGTTTATTCAAATACATTGAAATTGTGGAGGAATACAAGAAGCCGAAGCTCTTTCATATTATTAGACCTTCAAGCGAGCAAAGGGAATATTTTCGGATACCGTTACCACAAACAAAGTGTGATATTGGTTCTCTCGATTTTTGGGACACCCATAGAAATTTCAAAAATTCTATATTTCAAATACTTTTGAACAAAGACCCAATCTTAAAAATTGCTAATATACAAAAAACTATTTGCAATTGAATGCATTAAAATGAAGAACTCAAATATAATTATAACTATCTAAGGAATATATTGTTATACACATTTGCCACTATCATTAATATCTTAATTTAATGAATTGGCATGTGTGTGAATGTCTGAATGGCAGTTAAGCACTTAATTACTCACATTTAAAATTGTAATTGGATTCATTTGGAAATGTAATCAATTTTCATACAATTAATAAATACGACAGAAAAAAACAAAATTACTCTTTAGAAGGTATTAAAAATGCCACTTGATGTTTTTTTATTATTAAATGTTGTTGTTGCTATAATTTTGAATAAATAAAAAATGCATTTCTCTCTGCGAAAGGCATTAAAAATGCCACTTGACGTTTGATGGTGTTGTCGCTGTTGCTTTTTTTTATTTTGAATAAAGAATTGCATTTCTATTTAATCATCTGTCATTAATATTTACCAACAATTAATTAAATGCCATTATAAATAAATTAACATTGCGAAGCAATAATTCAATGCAAAAAATAACAATAATAATGAAATATTAAAATTATCCTGCAATATAATTTTTGTGGGGGGAAAAGAAAGTCAGTGGGAGAGAATATGGATCAACGGAAGTTGTGAAAATAATAATAAAAAGTGTTCGAAATTTAAAAAAATAGTTTTCATACAGCTTATCACTTAGTGTAGTGATTTTGTTTGAATCTACCAGAACCACCAATACAAAAAAAAAATTCAAATTAGATGTTTTCAAAAACTTGTCAAGGAATCAAATATAAATTAATACTTAAATAACTGCTCAATAGAAAACTCTTCGATTTGATAGCCAATCGATTGTTAACCGAGTGAACTGTATACGATTAACCTGTTACAAAGCGTAAAGAACACAACAGTAAGCTTACAAGAATGTGGGGTGCTGTATGGATCATGGATCATTTTTTGGTTACTACCATGATATAGAAAGAACGATCAATATATTTTATATTCTGTTTGAGAGGCAGAATCTCATAAAAATTTTGTATTTAAAAAAATAAGTTCTGCTTCAGTGAGAAATTCAACAAGTTATTGAGATCGTGGGTAAAAATATCGAATTTGTAACTCTTCAACCGTATTCTCTAGATCTGACACCAGGTAAATGATTATAAATTTCGTGGTTTCAAAAGTATCGGTCAAACTAAGTTGTTAAAAGATTTTTTGCTTTTAAGGGAACCCCACCCATTCTCGATATTAATTTTTCAAGATTTTCAATGGGCTGGTAAATCAATACCAATGCTTGTTAAGGTTTGTAACTTTGCACATATATAACTGAAGATTTAAAAAGGAAGAAAAATAATTTACAAACAATTTTTGTTGTTGTTTTTTGTAATTAAAGAAAAGTCCTTATTTTTGATGGCGGGCATGATAACTCCTCACTGGAACATCGGAATCCGAAAATTCCAACGGTGTTAGAAAGAGTACATGTATGGCTCTCGTATGAACTAGGATTATTGACTTCGCTCTAAAATTAACAAAATGGCGGACCTTTGAAAAAATATTTTTGAAAAATCGCCGAATTTTGACCAAAAACCAAGTTAAAAAATAAGGAAGATCTTCACCGATTGGCTTTATCCTAGTTCATACGACAGCTACACACTCACAAAGAAACGTGTAAAAATTTGAAGTCGATTGGGTTATTAGTTTTTGAGTTATCGTGCCCGCCATTCACAAAAAAATGTTTAGAGAAAAACGCGTTTAAAGTTTGAGAAGCCCTTCAGCCGTCACTTGATGCTGACACAATAAATCGGCTATATCTTCAAGACTTCTTGAGATTTTCATTTGAAATTTTGTAGGGACATTCTTTAATTAGTGTAGATTCGAATTATATCAACCAAATTTTTGACCCCGAGAATGGGGGGGTCCCCTTAAGTCGAAAAGTCACTTAACTAACTCACGACGAAGAAAATTTATTAAAATCTACTACACAAAATGGTGATTCTGCCACAGCCATATCGTGCTTTAAGAAAAGGTTATGGCCTATGTCCAACTAAGGTTTGGTGGTTTAAGAATCCTCTGGTAATTGAAGAGAGGCCATAAAATCCCGAAAAAAAATCACTATTTGGTGCGATATTTTGGCCCCAAAGGTTTGGTTGAACCTTACAACTTCGAAACGACGGTGGGACGACTGTCACCGTCAATTCAAAGAGTTATGGTAATATGATAGACTTTTTGGCCTGCTATAAAAATACGCTTTGTAGAACACGTGGTTTTAACAATACGGTGCCACATGGCACACAACTCGAGCGACGATGGTTTTATTGTAATGGACATTTCCTGGCCTCTAAATTTCTCGTCGTGCCGATATCAACTGGCCACAAATATCATGCGGTTTAGTTTGATTTTCTGTTGATTTATTGATATTTTGATGCGGTTTGTCGCCATTAGATTTTCTGTTGATTTTTGGATCAAAAAACAGACAATTCACTCGTTTCAAGGAGGGAGGAGTTACTAGCAGTAGTTAAAGAGTCCAATTTTCAAACAGGGTAAAGGTTTGCTACAAATTTTAGATTTGAGTAAACCATTGCAATTCTTAGGGGAGATACCAGAAGGAGGATTGGCCGATATAACCTTTCTTCAACCTTAATTTTAGTTTGAAAGAAATATTTTGATGAGAAAATTCAAACGGGTAAATCCTTTGAAAATTATCGCTCTTCTCGCTCAGCTAGACAGACAAATCGACTCGAAATTGTTGAAAAGAATTTGGTCCAAAGGTTCTAAAACAAATTATGAGTATAACCTCATTAGCTTTGCAGCTCAGATTATTAAAACTAATATTTGTAAAAATGGAGGAATTTAATATGGTAGATTGGAGTCTTCAATTTATAAAACGTACAATAAACGTCTGCAGAATCTTAAAATTTAATTTAAACAAGAAAACCATATATGGAAGGCTTCCTAAACTTAAATTATATTATTTTACACGTATTCATCTGACATCTTCTAACTTCAGCAGCATCTAAGTGCACTCCTTTTTTTGGAGTCTGCTAACCAAAGGTGGTATTAATCAATTTTATAGGTCGTATCCTGCAAAAAGGCTTTCTGAAGGTGTTTTATTTATATAAAAGCCTACATAAAACATTCAATCTATAGGTCTCTAATACCTCTAGGTCTTTAATTTTTTTCACAGTAAATTTATGTTTGCAACAGCGAATTTTTTCATTTTGTACTACCGGGCCCCCCCCGAAATGAAATCCTGTGTACGTTGCTGGTCTCTAGGTCTTTATAGAACAAAGATTCGTCAGTATGAGGCAGATGTAGAAGGAGGCACGTTTTTCAACTAAATTGGCTGTAATTCAGTATTTTGGAACCCGATTGCGATTCCTATCTACAAATTATCAATTGTAAGATATTTTACTGGGTTTTGGGCACTTTTTCGAATGAATTGGTTATAGTTTCTATAATAAGTTTTGGTACCTATTGAGTTTAGATATTGTGAACGTCCACCACATGATGGAGGGTATACAAATTCGGCCCGGTTGAACATAGCGATCTTTTTACTCCTTATAAATAACGCTCTTCTGTAGAATGAAAATTTTTGTAGAGGTCCTGAAAGACATTGTATCCATACAAGTGGAATTTTCATGTAACTAACTATTTTTCGGTTAATTGGTTTCCACGCTTAATTGAACCACATGATGGGGCAAAAAATATTTCATAGGAATATACATGTTCATTTTCTCGGATAATTAAACCCCGTTAATTGATTTTCCCGCTTAATTGGTTCAAAATGCATGTCATCAAAAATAAATTTCCGTTTACTTTTTACCGGTTAATTGATTAATAATAATTGAAAAACAAGTGAAAAAACGTTAAATTCGGCCGGGCCGAACTTTGGATACCCTCCACCATAGATATACTGACAGGTACTTGAAATGAAAATATAGGGAACATACCAAAAAATGGACACACTTTCTACAGTCCGATTATGTAAACAATAATTTTTAATAGAAAATTATACCCTCAGCCTTATGGCTAATTAGTGTGTATACACTTTCACACGGTGAAAATGTGCCTCATCGAAATATTGGTTCTATTCCCAATCCGTTTCAGAAAAATTTGATTTCATCCCATCTTATATTTTCCAAACATAGTTTTTTCGAATTTGGGGAAGTGAATTTTTACCTCCCACACAGGGGTAAAAAATGCGGGCTATAGTTCACATATAGTTCATTATCGAACCGTACGTTCTAGTTTTTTACCCGGTATCCTTTGCAAAATGATTACACCAGATTATCATCAAACCCAAAACGCGAAAAAATCAGATAATTATATTAATATAAAAAAAGGGGTTGACTATTTATAATTTTGGTACGACTACAAAATACCAAATTTCAGTGATTTCGGTTGAAAAACGCGAATAAATAAATTTGGGGGTACCTTTATATGGGAGCTACCAGAAAAAAATGGACTTTTATTTATAGTTTTTAGTGGAGATATTTGGTACCCAATAAGAACCCAATATACCAAATTTCAGCGAATTCTAAAAACGCGTCGTCCTTTGGGGGTACCATAATCGAAAAAATGGACTTATATTTAAATTTTTATTTCCCATAGCGAATATACCAAATTTCAGCGATCTTGATTGAAAAACGCGCTCAAGAACCCCAAAATACCGAAAAAATTGACTTATATTTATAATTTTTAGTGGAGATATTTGGTACCCAATAAGAACCCAATGTACCAAATTTCAGCGAACTTGGTTGAAAAACGCGCTCAAGAACCCCAAAATACCGAAAAATTGGGGGACATATATATGGCTGTTGGACCTATATTCATAGTTTTTTGTGAAGTGATTTGGAACCTATTTAGAACTCAATATACTAAATTACAGCCAATTCGGTGGAAAAATACGACCAAAATACTGAAAATTAGGAGGTAAATGGGGGCTACTAGAAAAAGTGGGCCGTTGAAAAACGCGCTCAAGAATCCCAAAATACCGAAAATTTTTTATAAAGCCTAAATGTGGACCGATATATTCCATCTTCGAACTTGACCAGCCTGCAGACAAAAGACAACCCTATGCAAAATTTCCACCTTCTCCTTCGGAAGATTTCAGCGTGATTACAACAGACGGATAATTGCGGCCTCTGGAGCGACCCTGATCAAGAATCAGTAGCGTTTATATAGGGTCGGAAATGAATATTTCGGTGAGTTACAAACGGAATGACAAAATTAATATACCCTCCATACTATGGTGGAGGGTATAATAATCTACCATTTTTTTACATACATATTTGACATAATTTGTGAAAAAGACTAGGTGTCCTCTCTACTAATTCAAAACATATGTTCATTGGTAAGGAAAAACTGCGAGAAAGCGTAATTTGTATTTGACATTGGATTTTTTTTTTTAATCATTAGTAGTTCCAATTGTATTAATTGAAAAGTTTGTTCAATAACAGTAATAATTGAATAAACTATTCAATTAAGCGGGTTCGGATAATTGGTTCCTCGGTTAATTGAACAAAAATTTGTGCAAATTTTGATGTGCAATTAACCGAAAAATACTGTAGATGAATTTGACATAAATGCTTCTCTAATAGAGTAATGACCTTCTAGGGGTCTTTTGTGGACTGAAGTTCTTCTAGAGGTTTCATCCCAATTCAAGATCTATTTTAAAAAACAAGAATACATACTAATGGAGTTCGGTCTTCTATATGTAGAATACCTCCTTATGTGTCATCTACATTGAAGGACATTTTTATGTTAAGATAAATTTTAGATTTGTTTAGGTTACATACAAAAGTCGGAAAGGGAAAAACATAAAAAACAAGATCACTAAATTAATGACATGTTAGTTTTTGTGAAGGATTAATCACAAACACACACTCGTACGTACGCACGAACGCACGCACACACAAAACAAAATTAACAAACAAAACAAATACAAATTGCAAAAAATAGTTTAGAGATTTTGTTACCGTGATTATTATTGATTTATGGAATTTGTTTTAGGTACGTACATAGACATCGTTTACCTGGTGGCCGGGACCCACTCGAATTTCTCCTTGAGTGGAGGCCGCCATTACCCTTCAAAAACACTTTTACGGTCCAGTGTTAAGCCTTTTTATTGCCCCCGTTGTAATGAAATAAAAATCAATGCAATCAATGAATAATTCTGCAATGAGACAACAAACAAACAATTTATTTATTATTAATATTGTTAATCGGGAAATGAATGTTATGTTGTGTTGTTGTATGACTAGAAAATAAAAACACTTTTTATATTGAGAGTAATCAAACAAAAAAGAAGGTATAAAAGAAAGAAATATAGGGAAATGCCTATTGTAAATCGCAAAAATATAAAATATTTAAGATCTGATACTGCATCAAAAACAAGAGGCGAATTTTTTATATACTCTGATTGCTTTACGATAATACAATGTAGAATTGAAAAATTCTAAATTCTTAATAAAATATTTAAGTTGTAAAAATTTTAGACTCAGAAGAAAAAATCTGTTTAAAAAAAACACACGTCTAGAAAATAAACTGTGCAATTCAAAGTGTGCGAAATTTAAACACAACTTCCTAATATTTATCCAAATATAAATTTATGTTTTAAATAATTTCAAATAAATATTAAACTAATTACATATGTCTGTAATAGATTTTATTTGTAATCCTATTTGTGTCGTCTTCTATTTATTTTTTCTTCTTTTACCATATTTAATCGTGTTATTGTTAAAATTGGTTACACTTAAATGCCTAACCCTAAGTCGACGTTTTTTTCAAATTTTTGGCTTGACAAAATCATTTCATTTAACATAACATCAACACATTGCGGCCTCAGAACTTTTGTTGTCATACACCAAAAGGCTGCCGTCGGCTAATGAATAACAAATAGAATTGCCTGCAAAACCTGGTTCCCCCTCCCTTTCGCATTTAAGCACACAGTGAAATGTTATCGCCACCATCAACCCAGAGTCTGAACAATAGCAAAGGTAGATGGGGTGGTTGTGTCTATGTGTGCGGAGGATGGCAAAGGTACGATGTTCGGAAATTGCTGATAGCTTTTCCATTTCTACGAAACACTGGCGAAAGAGAAATTTTGCGACTGATGGAATGAATAAATGATTTTTAAAATAAAATGACAAGAATCTATAAATCGGCTTTGTTATGATGTTGGAGGGTGGATGGATGGTTGATTGGTTGGTTGGTTTGTTGTCGTTGTTGCTGCTGTTGCTCATGTAAATTTTGTGTTTGTGTGTGTTTTGTACATCATATTGTACAAATTTATGATTGTCTCTGGAGGTTTATTTTTATTGGATATATTGATTTCAATTTGCATAGAGTAATGTATTTCGTTTGACAAATTGTTACTAATAGCGAATAAAGGAAATATTCCTAGAGGTTACCTCTACTTAATCGGTTAATAGATTTTTTATTTATTCATTATTTGTATGTGTACCAACCAATATTGTTAGAAATTACTCAAGAAATATAAAAATATCCACGTCCGAAGTCCGACAAATATTAAAAAAAAAAAATTAATGACTGAAATTCGAAAAATATTTAAAAATCGTCTAGACTTGAAGAAAACAATTTTTTTAACAGGTACATTTCTAGTGTACAAAAAAACTTTTTTTTCAAAACCACGTCTAGCCTTAAAGAACACACATTTTTTAAAAAGGTACACTTCTAGTTTCTCTTTTTTTTAAATCCACGCCGTTTTTAAAAAAATCCATGTTTGTTCCTTAAAAAAAAACTTTATAAAAGCAACGCCTGTTTAAAACAAAATCCACGTTTAGACCTTGAAAAAAAAAAATTAAAATCTAAGCCTATATTTTAAACCAGTGAGCGGAGCAGTATAGTCGGACGGGGCCGACCATATGATACTCTACAAAACTTCCACGAAAATCTAACTTTCTGCGGTTCTATATTCTGAGCCTGGGCAATATTTCGCGATATTTGCACCCTCTTGACCGACTAGAGGCAACAAATATTACTAATATTAATAAGCGCCTGTAAATACGGCAATAAAATTCGTATCAATTTAAAGGTCAACCACTCCTCTTGGATATACTATCAACTTATCGGATCTATCTCCTTCAGGGGAAAATATATAAATTTTGTCATTTTTCACAAAAAAGTCAGGGTCCATTTGACCCGCTAAATATTGACCGATCTTTATCAAAACAGGCATGCTTATTTTTTGACCCGACCCCCTTCTCACGATGTTTGGACCAAAATTGCTGCCTCTGGAGCGACCAGAAAAACCGACAAAAATTAAGTATTTGGTCCATTTCATCCCCTAAATATTAACTAGATCGACTCAGCTAGTCGAGATATGACGATCGGTATACTTAAAGGTGGGTCTAGGACCAATATTTCGCGACGTTACAAACTCTTGGGGCTGCACAAAGCTATAATACCCTAACAACATAGTTGTGTAGGGTATAAAAATCCACGTCTCTTCCTTAAAAAAAAACTTTAAAAATTTATGCCTAATTAAAAAAAGCCACGTCTAAAACTTAAAAAACTTTTAAAATTCACGCCTATTTATTTTAAATCCACTTCTAGTCCTTGGATTTTTTTAGATTAACGTCTAGTCCTTGGTTTTTTAATCCACATTTGGTCTTTGGATTTTTTTAAATCCACGTCTAGTCCACCACGCCTAGACTTGTAAAAAATCCACGTCTAATCTTCAAAAAAAAATTAAAAGTATTAAAAAAAAAATTAAAAAATATGCGTCTCGTAAAATATTAAAAAAACTCCTAGGACTTGAAAAAAAATATTTGAAAAATCCGCGCCTCGTTCTTGAAAAAAAAAAATAATTAAAAAATCCGCCTCAAAAAAATATTAAAAATCCGCCTCAAAAAAAAATATATATAAAAAAATTCGCCTCAAAAAAAATATTTAAAAAATCCACGCCTAGTTCTTGAAAGTATATATTGTTAAGGAAACGCAGGCTTATACTTGAAATATATATTTAAAATCCAAGCCTAGCCTTGAAAAATATATTTTAAACATCCAAGCCTAGTCCTGGAAAAATATAATTTAAAAGTTCAAGCATAGCCCTTGGTTCAAGCATAGCACTCCTATATCTCTGATAGTCCTTGAATAATAATCTTTAAAAAAATCCACATCTGTAGCTCTGATAGTCCTTGAAAAATAATTTTTAAAAACTCATTATTGCCTTGATAGCCTTTGAAAAATATTTTAAAAATACCACAACTGTATTCCTTGAGAACTATTTAAAAAGCCACGCCAATGGCTCTGATCGTCCTTAAAAATATTAAAACAGTCCGAGTAGTCCTTTAAAAAATATTTCAACAAACAAATTCCCATATAGGATTCTCACAAACCTTCTAAAACATGTTTGGACAAAATTTAGAATGTTGACTAGGAATAACCTGTTTCCATGTATGATTTCTGATAGGTTCGGAAAGTTCTTCAAAACATCTCTCCGATTGGAAAATATTAAAATAAACATAGCTTTTGTTCTAGAAGTCACAATGAAGCAGGCTTTACTGTTTATTAAAAAAGAAATAATAATTCCATTGGAAACCCCGTTAAACATTGAAAACATTAAACGGTAGATATTTATTTTTTAATCGATAAATTAGTGATAAGATTACAAACATAAAATGATTGTGTTTTAATTTGTTAGTCAATCCGTGTTAGAAAAACTACTTCACAGATGAGATTAAATCTGTAAAAATAATAAAAAAAGAAGCCACACACACGCACAAAACCTCAACGATTGACTGTTTAAAATAATTATTAATAATGTGAATGAGGTTCGGGATAATAAAGGTTATCACATCAATTGCCTACGAAATCGTTTGTGCTTGTTGGGTGTTATAAATGAGGCCACTACACACACACACACTGACAAAGAAAAAACTTTGTTGCCCATTTTAGCCGCAAATTTTGCTGATAAGAAATATGACTTTCCGGGGCATTGCAAATAGAGCGGCAAATATTCAAAGTATTGAATGGCTCTGGTTGGGCGAACTAAATGACCGGCTGACTGATTATTATTGCTGGGCAAATAAATGATAAAACAACAATTTACAAAAAAAAATATGTGTTCGGCTGTGTTGTCGATTATAAAAACCATAAATAAACACAGATTGTTAATTAAATCGTTTTAGTAGTCTAAAAATAGAATCTGAGTATTATAAATGGTTCCTAAAAATAAGTATTTTGGAAAAGATTGCATAAGAAACTAAACAACAGCTCATTAAAGAGTATTTTGTTTTTAATCTTAGCAAATCATCTGAAAGTCTAACTAAACCATATATGACTCACAATTACATCTGACACGATGACTAATCCTCTAGTGATAAGTTTATATGAAAAGTGGATTTTTAAGTGATACTTGAGAACTAGAAAACAAATTCAAGTTCTTAAGTGCAAGGTGTACTGAAGTACTTAATATTTCTATATCGACCCTTATAATTTGAGTACTGGATAAGTAAAATAATTTCCTAACCTACATATAGCTGTGGATTATTAAAAATATTTTTGTTCAATGACTGTCGAAGCTATAGACCATATTTTTGGGAATATTTTTTAAAAGAGTATCTAAAATTATAGAGCTTTAGAAGTTGATATATAGGAGAGGTGTATATTTTTAAATATTTTTTCAAAGTTATAGCCTTGGATTCTAAGAGAAATACTATAGGCTCTGTGGGAAGGATTTTTTTAACTGGACTATTAAATCTATAGGCGTGCATTTTCAAAGAACATTTTTTAAGGACTGTCAGAACTACAGCCATGTGTATTTAACCAAATTTCAACAGTCAGTGCAACAGACTTGGAATTTTTGAAACCTGATTTTCGAGGACTATTAAAGGTATATGCCTGGATTTTTCAATAACACCTTTTCAAGGACTGCCAGAGCTACAAGCGTGCATTTTTAAAGAACATATTTTCAAGGGCCATCGGAGATGCAAGGCTGGATTTTTAAAGAAAATATTTTTAAGTCTATCAGAGGCACAGTCGCGGATTAATAGAAAAAAAAACATTGTTTAAGGACCTTCAGATCTACAGTTGAGTATTTTTGAAGAACATTTTCTTTCAAAGACTGTCAGGGCTACAGGCGTGGATTTTTAAAGAACAATTTGTAAGGACTGTCCGAGCATTGGGCGTGGGTTAAAAAACAACAATTTTAAAGGACTTTCC